CATTTAGCTCTCATACATGTCAATGGGCATTGAAGCCTAGTTCAACCCAACCAACCTACTATCCAGCCCACACACACACTGGCTGGTGCTTTTCTGTCTGGTCACCCCAGCCCCTGTCCTGGTTTTTGTGCCCTCTAGTGGGAGTGGTAACCCAAGAGGGAGGAGCCCACGATTTCCCTACTAGGCCACTCCCACTTCCAGATTATACACTCTCCAGCTGGTTCTGAAGTTTAACTTGACAGATTTAGCTCCCAGTGCCAGCCTCTTCAAGCTGATGCTGCAACAAAGCCCAACCATCCCTCACCCACTATAATTTTTGCTTGTACCAGTCGGAACAGTCAGCCCAGCCTGACTTTTCTCTGATCCATCTCACACGAGGCCCACAGGTGTCATAACCCTGTCTAGTCTGGTCTGCCCCCATCCCAACTCATGCTCTCCAGTGGGAGTGGTTGTCCAGCAGGGGAGCCCACATTTGCCCTGCTGGCTTTGCCCCCTCCCTCCCTCTCACGTGTTCTGTTGGGCACTATGGCCACATGTAGTATGGTTCACTTCGCCTTGGTATTCCTTAATGTGCACTGCTTTGTGTCGCGAGCAAACCTGACCCAACCCACACTCTATTCTGTTGCTCGGTTTCGTCAGCGGGTGATGTGCACTGGTTCAGCCTGGTCTGCCCCCGACCTATGCCAAATGCATGCCGGTGGGTATCTTTCTCTGGCTTGGTCTGGGTTGCTCCCTATCGTGGTTCTTGTGTTCACCTGTAGGGACTGTGTCCTGTCAGAGGAGTTTCCCAGGCTCCTTCATCAAAACCTCTCCCATTGCAAGATCTTACGCATACTGGAGGGTCCATGGGCCAGCCCTTATTGCTGGCCTTCAATCCATTCCAGTTTTTTCTGTTGAATGTTTGAGCCCAGCCAAAGCTCATCCATACCCAGACACAGCTCACACATGGCTCAATAGGGGCAGAGACCTAGCCTAGTCCATTCTACACCTATCCAGGTTCTCCAGAGCACCAGATGGTGCTGGCGTCTAGCCTGGCTATGTGTACCCAGCCCCAGTTCACACTTGTGCCAAGTGAGATTGCAGCCAGGGATGTGATTATTTTTTAAGACTTATTTTCATTGGAAAGTCAGAGAAGGAGATATAGAGAGAAAGATTTCCATCCACTCGGTCACTCCCCAAGTGGCCGCAATAGCTGGAGCTGAGCTATCCAAAAATAAGAGCACGGAGCTTCTTCTAAGTCTCCCATGCAGATGCAGAGTCCCAAGTCTTTGGACCATCCTTGAATGCTTTCCTAGGCCACAAGCAGGGGTTAAATGGGGAGTGGAGCAGCTGGGGTATGAACCAGCACCCGTATGGGATCCTGGCACATGCAAGCAAAGGACTTTAGCCATTAGGCTACTGTGCCAGGCTGGAACATGACTTTTAATGCAGTCCACAATTTCTCTACTTTTCACGCTCAACTCTATTGAATGTGGAGAGGTGCTGCCCTAAATTTATAGCTTAGGAACTCCTTGTATGTACAAGTCTGCATGTTGCTCACAAGGACCTGTCTTGTGGCCTGATTTTTCAGTCATGGGTGGAGGCCAACAAAATCCTCATCTTCAAAGTCTGAGCTGGTAATGTTGAAGCAGTGAGCTTTGATCTAGAAGTTCTGCTCACCCAAAATGCAGATCAAGAATGAGAGATTCTGGGACTGGGAGTATGGTGAAATGGGATAAGCTGGCCCTTGCAATGATGGCTTCTCATATGGGCACGAGTTCCAGTCCTGGCTGCTCCATTTCCAACCTAGCTCCTTGTTAATGGCCAGAGATAAGCATTTCTATGATGCCAGAAGATGTCCATGTCATTGGCCTCCTGAACCCCTGTGTGAGATTGAGAAGAAGCCCCTGGCTGCTGACTCTTGTCTTCGGCTTAGCCCACGCCCAGCCCCAACTCTTGGGGTCATTTGGAGAGTGAACCAGTAGGTGGGATGGGTCCTTTCTATCTCCCTCTCTCCCCTGCAACTCCATGTGTGTGTGTGTATGTGGGTGTTGTGTGTGTACTACTTTGCCTTTTTTTTTTAAAAGATTTATTTATTTTTTATTACAAAGTCAGATATACAGAGAGGAGTAGACAGAGAGGAAGATCTTCCACCCGATAATTCACTCCCCAAGTGAGTGCAACGGCCGATGCTATACCGATCCAGAGCCAGGAGCCAGGAACCTCCTCCAGGTCTCCCACACAGGTGAGGGTCCCAAGGCTTTGGGCCATCCTTTTCTGCTTTCCCAGGCACAAGCAGGGAGCTGAATGGGAAGTGGGGCTGCCAGGATTAGAACCGGCACCCATATTGGATTCCGGCGCGTTCAAGGCAAGGACTTTAGCTGCTAGGCAATGCCACTGGGGCCCTACTTTGCCTTTCAAATAAGTAAATTTTAAAAATAAAAGAGTGATTTTCTGACATGCCAAATTCAATTCCTTCCTTCTCTCTCTCCTTTCTCTTCTTCCCTTCCTCCCACCTTCCTTCCTCCTTTCTCTCCCCCCTCTTTCTCCATTTCATTCTTGCTTTCCTTCTTCCATATCCTGTTCCCAGGAACTGCTGTGAAGACAGGCAAGTATTGTATAGAAAGTGTCCAAGTGGACCTGTTACCAAGACCTGCTCTGAGAAGTGTGGTAAAGAACTAACTGGTTAATTTTTCTAAAGTGCCAGGACATTTTTGAATGAAAAGCCCCATATAAGTTCAAAGTGTTTATAATTATTATGATTATTACTACAATTTATGAGATCTGTCCATAAAAGTCAATGAGATGATGTTAACATTTTTTAAAAGACAAAGCAGGACTGTGACTCTATATAAAGTGCTGTGGATTCACTGCAGCTGAGGACAAGAGCTACCAGACGACAGGTGAGTGTGAAACAAATGTGGAGCTGCTGTTGGGGCTTATTTAGGAAGAAAACCCCAAGGTAATTGGTTGATAGATCATTGCATGGTTGCTAAAAAATTAAGAAAAGTTAGATCCCACAAAACATGGGGACCATGCTGTGAAAATTCAGGTTTTAAAAGATATTTCGATGATGGATGATTTTTTTTTTGCCCTATTGATGGCAATATTTATATCATTTTAAAAAATGTCTTCTAAGGCACATATGGTTACTTTCGGATTTGTGTGCATGTGTAAAACAAAGAATGGGAGAGCAGCAATGTGTGTGCATTTTGTGAAAGGTCAAATTGGAGGTAGATTCTGTTCATTCAAAATTGAAGGACTGAAGTGTTAGTATTCTGCCAGGTGGGTAGTCGCTTCCTTGACCCATCTATGTGCAGTTATGCCAGAGTCCCTTGAACCTGCACACCTTAGTGATGGCTTCATGATAGGGTCCTCTTTTTTATGGCAGCAGAGAAAGTACTCATATCAGCAGGTGCAGCAGCATACAACTTGGAAAACAGTGAAAAGACAGACAAACTTGTGGCTCTCCAGATGGAGCAGAGAGGCCAAGCTTTCCCTGACCTGTTCTCTGTCTAGGATGGGATAGTCCCAGGCAAGTCCCTGGCACATGATGAGACCTTGCTGGAATCCTCTGTTTTGGAAAGTTCAGATGGGCAGTGGCAGGGGCAGCAGACACAGAGGGACACAGGGAGAAAGGACTTCCTTTTAGGGCAAGCAGAGGAGGTGCCTGTCAGGAGAGATTAACATGCAAGCCTTCCACTTCTTCTGGTCAGAGGCCATGGCTCACAGTCCAAATTCAGTCCATGGTTAGTTTTCACAGACCACATGGTCAGAGGATCTGCAGAAAGTGGCAATTTCAAGTGAACTGTTGTGTTGCTGCCTCATGATTCAGATTTTTTATAAAAAAAAAATGTGATCCTGTTAGTAGATGTTTTGTGTGCTTCATTGTTATTAGGGTGTGTTTTGGTTTTGTTTGTTTGTTTTTATGTGAAAGAGTTACAGGAGAGGACAAGGCAGAGATTTTCCACCAAATGGCTCACTTCCCTAGCTGGAGCTGTGCCAGGCTAATTCCAAGAGCCAGGAACTTCATCTTGTTCTACCACATGGGTGCAAGGAGGAGACCAAATGCTTCTGCCATCCTCTGCTGTCACACCAGCCCATTAGGGAGGAGCTGGATCAGAAGTGGTGCAGCTGGGACGTGAACTGCTATCATAGGAGGTGCTCCACTGTTCAGGGTGGAGTTATCCTATCATGGGAGGCATGGTGGAAGAGGTTTTGGGGCAGAGACCAGCTCCTCCAGCACTTCCTAGGGTCAGTGGTAAACCTTCTGAGTGTTTGTATGGTAGCTAGCAAGGGACCCAGGAAAGCTTGTGTGTGTGGAAGGAGAATGAGAGGAATGGTTGGGTTTAGAAAGCCAAGGCCTAGAAGGCAACTCTTGGTAGCAGCCAGCTGCCAGCAGGCTAGTGAGTCCTTCCAGAAAACCCTGCCAGCAACCCAACCTCATAGGGATTTGTCTCCCCACCCTCTTTGGACTCTGGCCCAAGAGTTCAAGGGAGGCAGAATGGGTCCATGGGGCCAAAGGGATCTTGGATTCACAGGGTGGCAGGAGAAGGAGGTAGGGGAATGTCTTCTGCTTCCTTTCTTTATCCAAAGTAAAGAATGGGTTTACTTTCCATGTCCCCGAGGAAAGGGGGCTGTTCCTCTAAGCTGCAGGACAAGGAGCTCACATCCAGAGAAAACACTCATGCAAGATTACCCCTTTCATATTCTCTGATAATGGAGAAGCCCCCGGTATAAGGCACAGGCAGTAGAAATTGGCTTTTCTGAGTCTGGAGCCAAGATACCATGTTTCTGTGTATTGAGAAGCAAAATCTCTGAATTTTTAAAAATAGTGAGCACCTGCAATTATCTGGCGGTATGTGGAATCCTTGGACTGAGTAGAAGTCTTATCATTTTTAAACCATGCCTGTCTTTGACAGAAATGTAACATACCATTGTGATACTGGTTACATTTTGACACATTGGAATGAATTCTCATTTAGCAGGTGTCTCAGCAATTGAAGAAATAGGTCCTTAATATGTGTGTCCTGTGGCTACTCCTGGGTCTCCTTGCACTGGCTGGTGAGTGGTCTCTCTTTTCTTATTTAAAACTTTTGTTTGACATTTATTTATTTTTATTGGAAAGTCAGATTTATAGAGAGAAGGAGAGTCAGAAAGTTCTTCTGTCCATTGGTTCATTTATCAAGTGGCCGCAATGGCTGGAGCTGGGCCAATCCAAAGCTGGTAGCCAGGAGCTTCTTCCAGATCTCCCATGCTGGTGCAGGATTCCAAGGCCTTGGGCCGTCCTTGACTGCTTTCCCAGACCACAGGCATGGAGCTGGATGGGAAGTGGAGCAACTGGAACAGGAACCAGTGTCCCTGTGAAGTCCTGGCAGATGCAAGGCGAGGACTTTTGAGCACTAGGCTACCGCACTGGGTCTTCTTTTTCTATTTCTTAATGTTTGTTTTATTTATTTGCAAGGCAGAGCACACATCTTTCATCTAGCAGTTCACTCCCCAAATGCACACAACTAGGGAGGCAGGGGGAGGGGGTTTGTTAAGCCAGCAGCCAGAAACTCAATCCGAACCTTCCTGTGGATGGCAGGGATCTAACTGCTTGAGCCATTGTCTGTGGCCACCCAGGGTCCACACAGTAGGAACTGGAACCAGAAGCAGATGCAAGTTGGAACCAGACATTCCAGTATGGGTCTTCGCCTGTTTTGTGTCACAGTGCTGGCCCTGTTTCATGCTTTCTCAATGCCTTGGAGGCAGAACAGTTAGGCATAAGAACATAATGGTATTTCTGGCATTTGAAACTCAGTAGAAAACATTTTTATCCTATGATGCTCACTAAATCCTAGAATTAAGAGCATCCATGGAGAAGCAGCCTCTTCCTCAAAGCCCTACAAAAGCATGGACTTCTCCAGAAATTGGAAGAGGGTTTTGAAATCACAGTGTCCTTAGGCTAAACTTTAAATAGATGAACACATTATTGGAAGCCTTTTCATGACCACTATACAAATTTTCACTGGAAGTATTTACTGAATGTAAAGACTGTAGACCATATATCTCCATGGAAGCACTAGGGCAGTTGCCTTGGTAGGACTGATGGGATCCAGATGGAAAAGGGGTGTCCAAGGAAGCAAGATGTGAGTGGGCTAACCCGCTAAGGCTGCTGAGGCTGTGTGATGGAACTTCAACTGTGGTCCCAAGGTTCCTTGCAGCTGATGCAAAAGGGAAGAAGCAAAGTTGCTTAGGAGGAGCAAAATTTTTCCTGGCTCTAAATTAAAACAAAAAAAATTTTTCTCAGATGGGGTTTGGTTTCTTAAAACTTGCATTTATTTGATAGAGAGAGAAAAAAAGAGATCTTCCAACCACCAGTTCACCCTTTATTGCCTGCAATGGCCAGGTTGAAGCCAGGATGTGAGAACTCTGATACGGGTGACAAGATATTTGAGCCATCACTTGCTGCCTCCCAGGATGGGTTTTAGCAGGAAGTTGAAATTGGAAGCAAAGCCAGGGCCTGAACTCAGGTACTCATATATGGGATGTGGGTGTCCCAAGTTGCATCATACGGAAATTACTTTTTAAAAGATTTTTATTTTGAAAATCAAAGAGGAGAGGGTGGGGGGAAAGGGACACCTTCCATCTGCTGGTTCACTCCCTGGATGGCTACAATGGCCAGCATTGGGCCAGGCCGAAGTCAGGAGATTCATCTGGGTAGCAGAGCCCAAACACTTGGCCATCCTCCATTGCTTTCCATAAGCCAATAACAGGAAGTTGGATGAGAAGTAGCACAGCCTGGACAAGAACCAATGCCATATGGGATGTCAGTGTCACAGCAGAGACTTTACTTTGACCACTGTGCCAAATGGCTCTCAGATGGCATCTTATATTTATTTGTTTATTTACTGGTTCTTTCGTTTAGCAAATATTTAAAACTTCTAATAAAGGGAACAGGTGAGATGGTTCAATTGGCTAGCCTCCTCCTGCAAGTGCAGCATCCCATATGGGTGCTAGTTTGTGTTCTCTCTGCTCCACTTCCTGTCCAGCTCCTTGCGTGTGTCCTGGGGAGGCAGTAAAAGATGACTCAAAGCCTTGGGACTTTGAATCCATGAGGGAGACCTGGAAAAACATCCTGGCTCCTGGCTTTGAATTAGCTCGGCTGTAGCTGTTGCAGCCATTTGAGGAGTGAACCAGCAGATGGAACATCTTGTTCTCTATCTCTCCTCTCTGTAAATTTGTCTCTCCTATAAAACTAATTAATTAAAAAAAAATTCTTACAAGGTTCTAGCCATTGGAACTATAAGGAACTTTGAGGATCATGAATATGAATATTAAAATTCCTATAAGACAGGTAACCAATTGCAATATGAAGAGTATTTGTTGTCTGGCACATGGAGGGAAAAGAGAGTATTTTTAAAAAATTTATTTTTGGGGCCCGGCAGCATGGCCTAGCAGCTAAAGTTCTCACCTTGAAAGTGACAGGATCCCATATGGGCACTGGTTCTAATCCCAGCAGCTCCACTACCCATCCAGCTCCCTGCTTGTAGCCTGGGAAAGCAGTCAAGGACTGCCCAATGCTTTGGGACCCTGCATCCGTGTGGGAAATCTGGAAGAGGTTCATGGCTCCTGGCTTCAGATCGGCGCAGTACCGGCCATTGCGCTCACTTGGGGAGTGAATCAAATACAGAAGATCTTCCTCTCTGTCTTTCCTCCTCTCTGAATATCTGACTTTGTAATGAAAATAAAATAAAAAAAAATCTTTAAAAAAATTTATTTTTGAAATTTATCATACAATTCTGTATAGTCTGGGATTCCTCTTCCCCCCAATTTCCACCCCTGTTGATTTTTCCCATAATGTCACCACTCTTCATAAGGAGTTACAATTCCATCAGTCTGCTATTTAAGTATGCCCTGACATTGCTGATACAGACCATATCAGACAGTCCATCATCCCATTGTGCAGATATCCCCAACACTTTTGTTGGGAGTCCCTCTCTTGTTTGGAAGCAGAGATGCCTGTTGCATTGTGTGTTCACATCTGGATATGGTAGTCTTCAATACTCCACCACTATACATTCCAATTTGCATGATGGTTTCCTTATATTAAACAGAACATATGGTATTTCTAGTTTTTGTGATTGATTTAATTCACTGAGCATAATGGTCTCTAGTTGGGATCATCCAGTTGCAAGTTGTTTAATTTCTTTCTTTTTAATGGCTAAATAATATTCCATGGAGTAGATGTGCCACAGCTTCTTTTTTTTTTTTTTTTTTTTTTTTTAAAGATTTATTTTTATTATTTTTTCATTAGAAAGGCGGATATACAGAGAGGAGAGACAGAGAGGAAGATCTTCCGTCCGATGATTCACTCCCCAAGTGAACGCAACGGGCCGATATTATGCCGATCCGAAGCCAGGAGCCTCTTCCGGGTCTCCCACGCGGGTGCAGGTTCCCAAAGCTTTGGGCCGTCCTCGACTGCTTTCCCAGGCCACAGGCAGGGAGCTGGAAGGGAAGCGGGGCTGCCGGGGATAGAACCGGCGCCCATATGGGATCCCGGGCGTGCAAGGCGAGGACCTTTAACCACTTGCGCCACCGCGCCGGGCCCGTGCCACAGCTTCTTTAGCCACTCTTCTTTGGATGGGCATCTGGGTTGTTTCCATGTCTTTGTTGTTATAGATTGTGCTGCTGTAAATATAGGATTACAGATCCCATTGTCACATGTGGTTTTAATTTCTTTTGGGTATATTTCTAGGAGCGGGATATCCAGGTCAAAAAAGAGTGTTTGTCACCAATCATAAAGACAAAAGTCCACTTTTTTCTTTTTTAAAAGATTTATTTGTTTTTATTAGAAAGTCAGATATATAGAGAGGAGTGTAGGCAGAGAGGAAGATCTTCCATCCACTGGGTCACTCCCCAAGTGGCTGCCGTAGCCAGAGTTGAGCCACCGAAGCCAGGAGCCAGGAACTTCTTCAGGTCTCTCACACAGGTGCAGAGTCCCAAGGCTTTGGGCCAACCTCCACTGCTTTGTTTGAAAGTAGACAGATCCAGGCAGACACAGATTTTCCATTCATCACTTTAACCTTCAAAGACGCATGGCATTAGGGGCATGACCAGGCTGATGCCAGGAACCTGGAACTCAGTCTGGGGCCCCTGTTGGGTGGCAGGGACCCAAAGCGTTGAGTCATCATCCGTTGCCTCCCAGGGTCTGCATTAGTAGAAATCTAGAGTCAAGAGCTGGAAGTAGGTGATAAACTCAGACACTCCCATGTGGGACGCAGGCATTTTAACAGCTATGCTAAATACTGTTTCCCTAAAGTTTTAAAAATAGATTTATGAGTTACTTTTATTAGTATCATTCCATTCCTAAAGGATGTTGAGAACTCTCCTAGTGAATATTTTGGGTTGATTTTTCTCAATTTGCAGCCTCATCTGAAAGCAGCAACTGGGGATGCTATGGCAACATTCGAACCTTGGACACCCCCGGAGCGTCTTGTGGGATTGGAAGACGTTATGGTCTGCCCTACTGTGGTAATTGCAATATTCTGGTCTGTTCTGGCCCTCTCAGCAGGGCCTCTTGGCACTCACTGTTTCTCACAGTCCTGCAGTCCCAAGGGTGGCAAGAACATCGGATGTAGAGGTCAACGTTGTTGTCAGCACCCTGGCTCTATTTTCTTGAACAAGCCACTAGGCTGCCCTGAGCCTGTGGTGATGGAGATGGATAGCAATGATTCCAAGGCTGTTAACTCATCCACACAACACAAATGAGAACGCTTTTTAAAACCCACAGACGGCTTTAGAAGGTTAGTGGCCAACCCAAGTCAATTAGGATTAGCTTTCATTTTGCCCAGTAATTTCATTCAAAGAAAGATTTTAACTCGTGTACTTTTAAAAAATTGTCCCTTAAGATTGGAAAAGCAAGTGCTGTGAAGGAAATTCCCCCAAAGACTTACAGAAGGATTTGAGGGGAATGGCTCCCTCCCATTTGTGCCCTTTGTTGCTGATGAACAAAGGACAATTTGTTGGGTCACTCTGTCTGCAGTGCTTAGGACTGGACCCATGGTGCACCTGCACCACTGGACTGGAATTGTTCTGGGAAGGTCAGATCAGCCCCTGCAAGCCTGTTAGAGGGTCACTGGTGGCCACAGAGGATGCTGAGTCAAGCTGGGAGGAGGAGAGTCCTACACCCAGGTCTGAGAATGTCCACAGTCCCGGACTGCTCCCTAGATTCTAGCAGAGAACCTTCTGTGTCTTCTTGAGCTGTGAATCACACCCAGCTGTGGCCCTTCTTCTATGCTTGCCCTAGGAGTCCGTGCTTCTGAAAGGCTGGCGGAAATAGACATGCCACGCCTCCTGAGATATCAACCCATGATGCGAACCGTGGGCCAAAGGTACTGTGTGGATCCTGCAGTCATTGCTGGAGTCTTGTCCCGGGAGTCTCAAGGTAGTAACGTTCTGGTCCATGTGGGCTCCGCAGATGATGGAATCAGAGCGGCGCAGGTAACCGTCCATCCATTAATGTGACATGTAGCCTTCTACTTCCTGGCACAAGCCCAAGGGGACACTCGGTTTGGGTTGCTGGTGCAGTGTCTTTGAACAGAGCATGGAGTTGTGAGAGCACAGTTCTGAGAGATGTGAATAGTGATTTGTTCTCAAAATAATGTGTTCCCAGGAAACCACTGTGGTCTGAGTTTCCAATAAGACCACAGGTTATGTCTGCTTGGTTGTTTGGTAACTCTGTGACCTTACATAAGTCACTTCATTTCACTTAATCTCAGTTGCTCCACCCATAAGATGCCATTCTTATAGAATTACAATGAAGATTCAGTGAAAAAAGTATTTGGTATTTGGTAGAATACTACCAGATATTACATTTTTTTCTTTGTCTTCTTTCTACACTATTCTTGGGTCTGATGATCAAGTTTCACTTTTGTACTAACTCTGCCTTATGGCATGTGTCAGATATTTGCAGGAAATTGGCCACTAACCCCGTTATTGGATAAAATCTGTGCTGGGGAATCAGAGATGGTGAGAGTAAAGAGAATGAAGTATTTCCTATTGTACCTGAAGCTGGTGTCTTGAAAAACCTATGAGTATTGTGCTCATGTCTTTAAGTTTTTAGGAAAACTAACTCCGTAATTTTTCAATTGGCTTCCTTGGAGTTCTTTGTATGACACCTAATTGAAAAATACTTTCAAACATTCATTTTCATCTGGGGACCCATCCAGTCCAGTAATTGGATGAGCTGGGATAGGGACATGTGGCCTTTTCTATGACGAATGAAGGAATGGAGCCATAATGAGGTGGTTGCCACTTGAAAGTCACACGCCAAATGCAGAACCAGAGCCAAGACCAACTTGTGATGCTAGGGCTGACATCTTTCTGCTTCTTTGTTCTACCTCCTTTGTAAAATGCAGTTCCTGTGAAAGAGAGTCCATTGCCCTTGAAGATGAAATGAAAACTCCCAAGGTTCAGAATTTTTTTCTAGATATCTAAACACTTACATGGAAGTGTTACCTAAAGATGTGTGAGAAAGGTCAGACATCAGTCTAGATGATGTAACACCGGAGGGGAAGTCGCACAAGCGTCTCCCTGGCATGATGGGTGTGTTTTGCATTTGTAGCACCAAGGGGTGACCTCAGATTGGAGCATACACTAACTGTGTGTGACTTTTGTTCTGGTCTCTTACCATGACCCTGAAGTAGCCATGAAATGTCTGTTCATCCCTTTCTTAGCTCAAATCTTGTAGCTTCATGTTTTTTTTTTAAAGGACTTACCTAACTATTTCAAAGACAGAGTGACATAGAGAAAGAAAAAAGAGAAAGAGAGAGATTGAGAGCCTAATCCTGTTTTGGATTAACTCTCCAAATGACTGCGATAGGTAGGGCTGACCCAGGCCCAAATCAGGAGCCTGGAACTCCATTGGAGTATCCCACACGGATTGCAAGGGCGCAAGCACTTGGCTTGATCTCCCCTGCCTGTCCACTTCAGTACTTTTAAAATTAAGAGCACGAAACAAGAGATCTGTCTTCTTAACAGATTTTACTTAAATGTAACACTGTACAATGGAGACTTGTGGATTTTAGGTATAATGTTGTACTCAGGTTTCTAGTAATTTTTCATTGCAAAATTCAAACTTAACACATGTTGACTGGTAACTCCCCATCCACCTCCCAAGAGTCCTGACAACCTTCATTCTGTTCTTTGCTTCAAGGAATTTTACTATTTTGAACACTTCATATAAGGGGAATCGTGCAACACTTGTTATTCCATGACTGCTTACTTTACCTTGCATAATGTCCTCAAGGTTTGTCCTTGTCGTCCTATACGGCAAGATCTCCTTCCTTTTAAAGGCTGAGTAGCATTCTATGGTGTGTATATATCACGTTTCTTTCATTTGTCACCGGCATCTGGGTTGTTTCTCCTGCTGGCTGTTGTGACTAGCTCTGCAACAAACATCAGAGTGTTCATATCTCCTTGAGACCCACATTTCAATACATACCCAGAGGAAGGCTTGTGAGGGTCATAGGGTGGCTTGGTTTTTAAATTTTGAGGAATTTGTGTAGCATTTTCCACTGTCCCATTTTGCATTCCCATCAGCAGTGCATAAGGGTTCCCATTTAGCCACATCTCCACATCTTTATTCCCTTTCGTGTTTTTTTGTTTGTTTGTTTGTTGCCAACAACCATCCTGACGGTTGTGAGTTGCTTCACTGTTTAATCCCCAGGAAAGTTGAAGGTGGCACTGGTTCCACCAAAGGTAGTAGAAAAAGCGAAGGGAAACGAAAAAGCCATGCTGAGCCTGGCAGACACATGGCCTTCCTGCCAAGCCAACCTAGCTCATCTAGATTTTCTTCTGCGTCCCTTCCTGCAGGGGCCAGCCCTTTATGCTCCCACATCTTGGATCAGTGAGCCCCAGGTTTCCCAGCTGACTGAGGTCCTGACTGCCAGAATCAAAGAAATCCAGAGGAGATTTCCCACCTGGACCCCCGACCAGTACCTGAGAGGTATGTGGAGCTGGGCCAATTGTTTCACAGCATGGAATTAGAAGGGACATAGGCAACTTGTTGCCTAGACTTGTCCCAAGCCACAGTTGCCTCCTAAAATACATTTAGGAAAGAGTCCAGATGAGCTGCTGAGCACCCTGCCCAGTGCCCCTGAGCCTTTCATATGCATTCCAGGTGGACTCTGTGCCTACAGCGGTGGTCCCGCCTACGTCCGAAGCACCCAGGACCTGAGCTGCGAATTCTGCAATGATGTCCTTGCTCGAGCCAAATACCTCAAGAGACATGGCTTCTAGTACTTCCAGTGAATTCTAAGCGCATTTCCACCAATGAAGCTTCAGCTGGAGTTATAAGCTAGCCTGTGAAACTTGTACCTGTCAATTCGGGTTTAAGGCAAATCACAATAAAGGAGTAAGGAATACTGTTTCCTCGTATTGTGGGCTCATGCTTATGGTATATGTGTGTGAGCATTTCTTTCTTTTTTTAAAAGATTTATTTATTTTTATTTGAAAGGGAGATTGACAGAGAGGAAAGACAGAAGGATCTTTCTTCCACTGATTCACTTTCCAAATGGCCATAAAGGCCAGAGCCAAGCTGATTTTAAGTTGGGAGCCAGGAGCTTCTTCCAGGTTTCCTAATTTGGTGCAAAGGTCCAAGGTCTTGGGGCATCCTCCACTGACTTCCCTGCCCATAAGTAGGGAGATGGATCGAAAGTGAAGCAGTGAGGATATGAATCAGCACCTATATGGTATGCCAGCACTTGAAGGTGGAGGATTAGCCTGTGAGCCATCACTAACCCATGCATATGCGTGTGTATGTGTGTGTGTGTGTGTGTGTGTGTACATTTCAAGGTATTTCCATGGAAGTTAGTTATTATGTCTCTGTCAGCTGACAATGACTGATGTTGCTAGATTTGACAAATAGAAATATAGGAAAGTCAGCTTAAATTCCAGAAATAGAAACTTAAAGCTAGGCCTTAGATATAGAAGTCTGGGGCCAATGCTGTGACACAGTAGATTGAATGCCTGTTTAAGTCCTGATGCTGCTCTTCAATCCAGTTCCCTGCTAATGCACAAGATGACCACATGCTCGGGTCCTTTCTACCTACATAGCAGATCCAAAGAAGCCTCCTGGCCTAACCTGGCCTAACCTTGGCTGTTGCTGTCATTTGGGAAGTGAACCAGTAGATGGCAGATCTCCCTCTTCCAAGAGGGGAAATCTGGGTTTGGAGAAGGTCTTGTCCCTTACAAGTTTTGTGACTAAAACAAGTTTCTGCTGATGAAATACTAATAACGTGTCTAATTGGCATTTCTCTTGTTTGTCCAATGGGATAAAAACAACACACATGTCAAGGGTGGTGGGAGAATTCAGCACCAATAAAAAACCTTGCTTCTTGCGTCCATTCAGGCTCCTAAGTTAATTACTCAACGTATTCCGACTAGAAAAGGAGCCTTTGGGGGCCTGGTGGCGTGACCTAGTGGCTAAAGTCCTTGTCTTGAACACACCGGGATCCCATATTGGTGCACTGGTTCTAATCCCGACAGCTCCACTTCCCATCCAGCTCCCTGCCTCTGGCCTGGAAAGCAGTCAAGGACGACCCAAAGCCTTGGGACCCTGAACCTGCAATGGGGGACCTGGAAGAAGTTCCTGGATCCTGGCTTTGGATCAGCACAGCACCAGCCATTGCTGTCACTTGGGGAGTGAAGCATCGGATGGAAAATCTTCCTCTCTATTTCTCCTCCTCTCTGTATATCTGACTTTGTAATAAAATTAAATAAATCTTAAAAAAAAAAAGCCTTGTTTCTTGTGTCCATTCAGGTTCTTAAGTTAACTATTCAACATATCCTAACTAGAAAAGGAGACTTTGTGAGGAATGAACAGGACTTGGCATCCCTGTGTTAGTTCCTAACACAGTGGCAGGCAGGGGAAGGTACCCTTCGCTGTCACTCTGTCTTCCAAATAAATATATATATTTTTAAACTTAAAAAATGTAGGATCTTATCCTGTTGGTACGTTTGACCTTCACGATGTTGTACATTCATGGGGTTTTGGTTTTATCCCCAATGCTGTGCTGTTGGTTCTTTCAATGTGGAAACTTTAAAAAACTTATCTTGCTGACAATTTCTTGCACCCTTTTTTTCTGTCTTTTAAAAATATTATACCTAGAGTGAGTTTTGCAGATTTCTCCTCCAGTGGATTTATGCCTTTTGTCTCGGCTCATTTTTGTATAGTTCTCACAGAATGCTGTTGAATGGATAACTTCTTAAGGAACTTATTTGGCTGATGGTTCTGCGGGCTGGGAAGTGTATAAGTGTGGAACCATCAGCTTCCCAGCAGCTGGTGAGCGGTGTCCTGCTGCTTCCTTCCTTGATAGAAGGTAGAAGGACAAGAGAGCAGCAAATCCTAAAGATTTTCAAAATGACATTTCTTTCTGACAGCTGAGTCAATATGAGGTTCTTGCAGAGCACTTGAAATTATTGAGTTTTTCTGGTCACAACACATTGATTGTTGTACCTTGCTTTTTGTGCAACTCTTTTTCTTTTTTTCTTTGCATGTGATTAGATGAGGACCCAGCCTACAGTACATTAGGGCTTATATCTAAAAGAAATAATAATAGTAAGAGGGACTGGCATCATGGCTCAACAAGTTAATGCTCTGCCTGTGGCACCAGCATCCCAATATGGGCACTAGTTCTGGCTGTTACATTCTTGCCTCTTCCAGGTCTCCCACACGGGTGCAGGGTCCCAGGCTTTGGGCTGTGTTCAACTGTTTTCCCAGGCCACAAGCAGAGAGCTGGATGGGAAGTGGAGCTGCTGGGATTAGAACCGGCACCCATATGGGATCCTGGAGCATTCAAGGTGAGGACTTTAGCTGCTAGGCTATCGCACTGGGCCCTAGCACAGTATTTTCAAGAGCAATTTCAAGACCTCTGTTATAGCTGAAGATGAAATTGAGCTTATTTGCCATGCCTGTAAGTACACACACTTAAAACTGGAAACATTCACTAATATCATTTCATGACCTGCTTAAGTAAAGAGCTTATTGAGAACATCTCTTCCTGTCATGAAATAGGAAAACTTAAAAACCCTCTCATGGAAGGTCCTAACCCTTGTTCCTTTCTTTCTCTCTTTGTATTACCTGGTCTGTTCTGGTCTGACAAAATGTTCCCAGAGCTTTAGCTCACACAGTGCAGGAGGACCCACGACTGTACATGCCTCCACTGTTGGCAGGGACGAGACACAGCCCGAGACGGCCGACTCCGTTTAGTGCTCTCAGCACGCTGCCCTGCTGGCCAAGGCCCAGGGAGCACAGGGAGAGGCAAAGGGTCCTGACATGTTCCAGCTGACATGCACTTCTAACTCAGAGCTGTTCGCTGGCGCCTCACATCTCCTTTCTGCCCTGCACTTCCTGCCCAGCGTTCACTCCACACTCCATTGCTACTTGGGCTCTTCTGCCAGCATTCCGGCTAACCTCGCCCTCTGAGCTTGTACTACATCTGCTGTGCTGCCCCTCCACTCTGGGGAGTTCCAGCCTTCTGCTTACTACCTATTTTTTCAGTTAGTTAGAACCCAGCATGGGGGCCAAAGCAGTGGCTCAATTAATTAATCCTCTACCTGCAAGCACTAGCATTCCATATGGGTGCTGGCTTGTATTACAGTTGCTACACTTCCCATCTAGCTTCCTGTTCGTGGCCTGGGAAAGCAGTCTGGGATGGTCCCAAGTCTTTGGACCCTGCACCCATGTGGGAGACCTTGAAGAAGCTCGTGACTCCTGGTTTGGAACAACTCAGCTCTGGCTGTTGCGGCCACTTGAGGAGTGAACCAGGGGATGGGGGATTTTTCTCTTTCTTTTTCCTACTTTTTGTAAATCTGAGTTTCCAATGTAAATAAATAAATCCTAAAAAAGAAAAAGAGCCTAGCATCCCTATGCCTCTAAACATAGAAGGACTCCAACCTCAGCTAGTCTACATCTGGATCCCAGTAATGGCTACCTTGTCATTTCTCCCTTCATTTCTCCAGAGTGGCTTCTCCACATCTCCCTCAGGTCCTAATTCCACATTGTTTCCACTCTCAGTACATGCTTGGGCCTCCTGTTTCACAGAGGAATTCGAATCATATGAGAACTCCTTCAATTTTCTCCCATCAGCTCACCAAACTGAACTATGTTGATGATTTTTCCGTTTTCTTCCTGTTACAATGGAAGAGGTGATTCCATACCAGTCGCCACTTTTACTTTTTTTTGGAAGATTTATTTTATTTATTCGAAACAAAGAGTATTAAAGAGAGAAAGAGAATCTTGTACTTGTTGGTTCACTCCTCAAATGGCAACGACAGCTGACTTGGGCCAGGCCAGGAGCATAGAACCCCATCCGGGACACCCACATGGATGTCAGAGGTCCCATTGCCTGATGGGGTGCCTTGTAAGGAGCTGGAGAGGTGGCAGAGCAGCCAGGACTTGAATCAGCACCGTAATAAGGACTACCAGCGTCACGGGCAGTAGTTTAGCCCACAATACTGGCCCCTGGTTTCTTAGGAGTTTGAACTCATGTCCTCAATCTTGACTGGTCAAACAGCCTCGATACCTTCAGCTACTGCCAGTGTAAACCATAACAACATAGCCTTGAACACATTCTTTCCACCACAGGTAGAGTGAACATCCATGGAATACACAAAAAAATTCAGACTTCTCTATTCTCATTTTTTAAACGATTTTATTCTTATTGGAAAGTCAGACATACAGAGAGGAGGAGAGACAGAGAGGAAGATTTTCCATCCGTTGATTCACTCCTCCAGTGTCTGCAAAGTCCGGAGCTGTGCCGATCAGAAGCCAGGAGCCTGGAGCCTCTTCCGGATCTCCCACACAGGTGCAGGGTCCCAAGGCTTTGGCCCATCCTCAGCTGCTTTCCCAGGCCAGAGGCAGGGAGCTGGATGGGAAGTGGAGCTGCTGGGATTAGAACAGGCGCCCATATGGGATCCTGGCACGTTCAAGGAGAGGACTTTAGCCATTCTAGGCTACTGGGCCAGGCCCTCTATTCTCTTTTTCAAACCAGTCTATTCCTGGAGAAGGGAATGGAGCCAAAGGCGGTCACCTAAGCCAGCCTAGGTTAACATGAGTCCATCTCTGTGTTATTTTAATATTTAGTTATACTTCAGTTGTTAATTCAGTTTTCCACTGCTGATTTTGGAGTGTTTCAAGGCTGATATCTCTACAAATGAAGATGGTATGAACGATACTGTATAAGTCCTTTGGGAGACATTTTGTTTTCATTTCTCAGGTAAATGTCTAGGAACGACAC